TGTATCGTAATTATTGGTGAACTATCTTTATAGTATATTATAATGAGATCACATTTATGAAAGGTAAAAACTATTGCATATTTACATTGTGATTCTAGTTGTGTATTGTGATTGTTGATGAAGTAGATAGTGTAGTAATTGAAAGCCTTAACATTGTAAAAAATTTAGTATTGAACCATATAGTGTTTTGTGCTTGTTAAGATGCAATGAATTTGTAAATGTGAAAATTATTTTGTATTTTGCTTTGTGATTCTAGTTGCATATTGTGATTGTTAGTGAAGTAGATAATGTAATAATTGAAAACTTAAACATTGCAGGAAATTTAATATTGAACTATATATTGTTTTATGCTTACTGAGATACAATGAATTTATAAAGGTAAAAGCTATTACATATTTTGCTTTGTCATTTTGGTTGTGTATTGTGATTGTTGATGAAGTAAATAGTATAGCAATTAAAAGCCTAAACATTGTAGGAATTTTTGTATTGAACTATTTAGTGTTTTCTGCTTAGTGAGATGCAATGAATTTGTAAAGGTGAAAACTATTACGTATTTTGCTTTGTGATTCTAGTTATGTATTATGATTGTTGATGAAGTAGATAATGTAGTAATTTAAAGCGTGAACATTGTAAGAAATTCAATATTGAACAATATAGTGTTTTGTTCTTATTGAGATCCAATGAATTTGTGAAGGCAAAAACTATTACGTATTTTACTTTGTGATTTTCGTTGTGTATTGTGATGGTTGATGAAAGAGATAATATAGTAATTAAAAGCCTAAATAGTATTTTATGTGTATTGAAATACAATGACTTAGCCAAAGGTAAAAACCCTTACGTATTTAATAATCAAATTTAACGTTGTGAATTGTTTGAACTTATCTTATTTTATTGATTTATACAGGTAAAATGGAATGATAAATGTTTTAAACTTTTTGTAGGAAAACTACACTGCTGCATTAGCTCCGAAATATGGTGAAGACTTTTTCAATCATCTAGATTTCAATCCATAACATGGACTGAAGCTATTGGAGGGGTTAAAGCTACATGCACTCATGTATATAGCTTTGGATCTATAGATAGATTTAAGGACCTATTTTACTCAAGTCAGTCCATTGTTGCAGTAGCAATGTCTCACCTGTTTGTGCTCCATCATTTGTGCCTTCTCAGCATCCTCAACCTCAGATACAAGAATAGATAATGAGTTGAGAATTGAGTTAAGGTCTTTCATGGATCAGATGATACAGTTGATGGGGTCTAGATAATTTTCTAAACATAATGACAGCAACACAGATTCTGAACTAAGAGATGCAGCAACATAATGACATGTTTTTTAGGACTTGTATCATTAATTTTATGGATGTTATGAATATTTTTTAGTACTATATTTTACAAATGTTAGAGAAGTTAAGAATATTAACTTTATAATTTGAATTGTTTTATAAGTTATTTTATGGATTTGATATGTGGATTTTATATTTTAATTAATAATAATAGAAATAATAAGGTTCTTAAATAATTACACATGCTTTACTTTTAATTTACATGCTTTTTAAATAATTATAGATTAAATTAATTAAATTATCAATAAAATTATAATTTTATAGATAGATTTTATTAATAGAATTTCATTATTCCAACATATTATTGATAGATTTATCGATGAAAAATCACCATGTAATGATCGACTATCAATCTATTACTGACAAAATTTATCAACAAAATTTTTATTGACAGAAAAATTTTATCGATAAATTCCATCGATAATTACTTACAAAAATTCAATGTTACTAATGGAAAGGCATTTCTAGCTTATGTACTATCGACAGACTTTTTTTGTCGATAATTTCATCGATATTACCATTACCAATGTAAAATTGACTAATACCGAAGAAAATTTTCATCAATAATGGTGATTTTTTTGGTAGTGTAACTTGAACTTTTAATGATTTTTTATCGAAATTTTTTGTTGTACGGGCTCAGTGCATTTTTTTTCTTTTTTTTTTTAGGGATAACACTTTCAAAAAGATAAATTTGAAGGTTGAAATGGTAACATTATTTAGATTTTCATGATACAAATATAAGCTACTAATAATTAAAAATGACTACTCAAACGTCCAAAAGCACTTGGTTGGGGGAGAGAAATTGATAAGAAACATTCTTGCAATCTCTATATACAATCCTTACTTGGTATCATCAACTTGACAGTGCATATTTTTCATAAAAGGGAAATTGATAAGAAATTCCCCTTAAATTAAAGAATTCAGTGTCATGCAAAATTTGTCAGTGCATATTTTTCACAAATGGTTTAAATTAGACATTTTTTTGTCTAAGTTAATTCGAGAATTGAGAGTCATGAATTATAGGCAATGCACTTTTTTAAATTTAAAAATTTTGTTAACAATAAAAAAATGAATAGTATTATAAATACCTGGAAAGAAAGAGAAATAAAATTAATGGTAATCATGTATGTAAATAATGTAAATTTTATAGATTAATAATTATATTTTTGAATCTTTCCACTTTTTCTTTGGCAGAACAATTTTTTACCAAGTTTTTAAATTGTTTTCTTTTCTTTTTCTTTTTCTTTAGGCAAAGTCAAAGGTGTCCCGCCCCAAAACCAAGATGCAACATGACCATATTACCTTGAAGTAAACACCAAAGTAATACGAAGCTTTCTCTTTTAATCATTTTAAAATTCTTCAATAAACTAATATAGTCTGTCAAGTAAAATCTATTTCTTTAATCTAACTAATGATAAATCTTTATATATCCAAATACAAACCATAAAAAAAATACAAAACTGTTTCATCAAATCTCATTTGCCAACATTGTCTCCCACGACTAAGTAATCTTTCCTATTTGATCTTTTAACTTTTCACAAAACTAAGCAACTTATCACTTACTTATCTGTAAAGAAAAAGTAAAGGGGAATGAGCAAACTATAGCTCAGTAAATATAAGCTCACACACGTTATCGGATCAAACATCGTTTTCATACATATCATATAGATCATTCAAAACATTCATCAAATCATAATGTCAAAACATTTCAAAGATCATCTTTCTATCAAACATTTTGTAAATTCATAAATCAATATAAAAACATGTCAATTCATAAATCATTGCAAAATATGCTACCATTCAAATATCGTAATCAAACCAAATCATAGATCATTCATTAAAAATTATCGTAAATCATCTTTATATACAAATCATGGATCAATCTTTAAAATCATCATTAATCATCATTATCATTAGTTTATCATTAGTTACGGTCACTGCTATAACCCGTGACACTGATCATATCGATAATTTCATCCTCATGATCATTGCTAACTATTATAACCCACTAGCCAGGGCCTTACGCTAACTATTTTAACTTGTTAGTCAATGTCGTAGAACTAGTTCTGGTGTCGATGATCCCACTTCCCAGAGATGTAAAAACGTAACTATCATAAAATCATTCTTTAAACAAAAATCACTTTCTCAATTCATTCATAAGCATGATCCATCATTTACATAGCAAAAATACAAAATAATCATATGTTTGATCCTATTTCCATATATCAAAAATAAAGAAATAAAACATTTATTCATTTGGAAACATACATATATACATAGATTCAAAAACAAACAAAGTGTGTGAGATTCTACTTACCTCCTTTCGATTCCACCATTTAGTTTTTCCCCTAAAATAATTAATGGTCTATTCAAGATCATTTCAACACATCAGAAATTAATCAATCCTTTTTTAGACCATTTATACAAAAATCAACTAAGTTACACAAGGGTTAACTCAACTAATTAATACTGACAGCATGAGCTCCTTTCACTAAAACAATCATATCTCAAGATATCCAACTTAGAATTAAGATTTCTTTAATACATTAGAAACTAGACTTGATAAGCTTTTTAAACATATATGGCCCATCTCATGATTCCTTGTGGATTAATCATAATAATTTTTATAATCCACATCATATGCTGCTGCCAACAGCCTGTACATCTTCTAATAAAAATTATGCATTTATTCATAGGAAACTCCAAATTCAATTTTGCTTATTTCATTAGAAAGTAGACTTAACAAGCTTTTCAAACATGTATGGCTCAATTTTTAATTCCCTGTATAAATTTAAGATCATTTTCGCAATTCAACTCTAATGCTGCTGCCTTATAGCCTGTATATCTTTAAGTAAAAATTATACAACTCTTCATAAAAAACTTGGATTCGACTTCCGTTTATTTCATTAGAAAGTAGATTTAACATGTTTTCCAATGATATATAATAATCACAGAAACAATCTATCCATTAATATGAAATTCTATTTTAATTTATTATTGTAGATCATAGCATCTCATCCAAAAACAGAATTTCTCCTTCAATCTTTAAAAACTCAAATCTCCACTTTCAGCCTTTAAACTCCATTCAATAATCATCAACAAATCTTAAGAACATGAAATAAATAAAGACCAGTAATTTATCCAAATAGATCATGAAGATTAATAAAAGATTTTATAATTTTTTTGGTTTTTCTCTCAAAACTTCAACTCCAAATAATAACAATCAATATAATATTTTTTCTTAAATAAAAAGACGGCATATACTCACCTTGAAGGGATTAAATTTATTATAGTCTCTGATTTTGAATTGTCAACTTAATTTTTTATATTCTTTAACCTCATGGAAGATGAGAAAGAAGAACTTTTATTTCTTTTCTATTTCACGATGGTTAAATTTTCTCTCATATAATACTTCAAGCATTTTTTTTACTAATTAATCTCTTAATAAATTAATGGGCTTTAATATTAATCTAACCTAATTATCATTTGGGTTGGGTATTACAAAAGGTCAATTACTTATGTTCGAATTAATCAGGCGAAAGTTCACTGAAATTCTATGACTTTTTTTTTTTTTTTAAACATGGAAGTCTTTGTCATAAAAGTTCAAAGTCATTACCAAATCTATTTTTTAATAGGCAGTTGGTGATCATTAAAAATGCTCTTATTCCACACAAATCAATAAGCTGAAGAGCAAAGATCCATGGGAAAGAAGAATAGGAACAAAAAAAATCAATGGAAAAAGCGGCTTGATTCAAATCCTGGAAGCAGATTGTCCATTTCCCTTCTAGATGTTAGAAAGTAAGTACCACTACTGTCATCTTTCCTTCTTAATTTTTATTAGTAAAGCAAGTTGATTTCTAGTGAGAATAATTTGATATTTTTACAGGGAATTGGACTCTGAACAAAGGAATGATGATATTATTAGTAGTATGGATGATGATATACTCTGCCATATCATTTCTTTTCTTCCTTTTAAAACGGCTGTCCAAACCAGTTTCCTTTCGACCCGATGGAAAGATCTATGGAAGAGGAATTTTCCAGTGAGGAAAGGAACCATAGATGATACATTTATTGCAATTTCAAGCTTTCTCCATGGTTTTTCTGATCAATCCCAGCAACCAAGAAGTAATTTTGGGTTCCAATTCAATTTTGGTAAAGGTAGTTTCCTCTCAGCTGCTGGTGAACCTAATAAAGCACTGCATCTTGATTTTTCCAATGTGAAGCATGAATTTCCATGGAGGTTTGATTGGTTGCTGGAGATCAATGACCCAAGCTACAACCACTGGTACAATTTCTTGCTATCAGACTTTGATATCCATACTCACCGACCATCACCCTTTATATTCAAAGTAAAAACCCTTCACCTAGTATCAGTTTCTTACCTTTCCAGCGAGGCAATTTCTTCTATGATGTCCAATTTCGAGTTTCTTGAGAGTTTGGCAATAGAAAAATGCAATGGCTTAAGATCTTTACGAATAAAAGCTGGTAATCCAAGGCTTAAAAAATTAACAATCTTGGATTGCCAACAATTAGAATCTATCCATCTTAAGTGTTACATTAATTTGCAGTCACTACGATATCGAGGAAAATTATTGTCTTTTGAATGTGACGATCGTGGCTCATTTTGGTTTGGGCATTGGTATAATGCTTTCTACCTAAAAGATGCCATGCTTGATTTGAGACAAGGCCCTGGCTATAGCAACATTAGTAGTTGTGGATTTAAGTCGATCTTTAACCGCATTAAACGTGTTGAATCTCTTACACTTTGCCGATGGATTTTTGAGGTATGTTTCAACTATAACCTGCCCATTATTCTAGAATAAAATTTCCAATTTTTATGTGTTACCCGTATTCAACCTTTGATTACTTTTGATGTACTTAACCTCGGCCCTTAGGCTCTTAATTTCTCCTTTTTTCTCGTTTCTTTTAGGCATTGATCTGCCCTATGCTACCGTTTTCTCATTTTCTCTGGGGCTTTCAACTCGTACAGCTAAAAGAGTTATGGTGGATTGATTATTCAAAGGAGAGATACAATAGTAATGCCTTAATTTCCTTTTTGAAGCTCAGCCCTCGATTGAGAAGACTCTATATCACAGTAAGTCATCATTGCTTTAACAATATTGATTGATGCTATATTACTCTCTCCATAATTAAGCAGTTGCAAATCAATTGTTGTCAATCAATCGCTCTGAATTTTGCGATTCCAACAATTATACCTTACAGGTTGATCCTAAAAGCTATAACAGGACAAATACAACTGAGTATTCAGTAGAAGCCGCGTGGCTTCCAAGATTAGAAGATCTCAGGGTTGTGAAATTGGAGGGATTCCCAAATGAAAAGGAAGAGATTATATTGGCAAAGAGGCTGAAACAGGAATTCAATGTGGAACCACTAATTGTAGCAAAGTCAAATTATTTGAATTGTGTGAGACTTCTTGTAAAAAAACCTAATGATGATGATGAGCTGCTAAAGGAAAGGAAAGATTCATACAAGTTTATTGAGACAAGAGTTGAACATTTGTATGATTTATGCCCTAAACATGTTCACATGAGCTTGTAAGAGAATTTTTTGCTTATGGTTTATTTCTTTGTAAGATTAAGGGAAAAGATATAATGTGGTTTTATTTTGTTTATTTCTTAAGTTTATTGAGCATGCAATGTTTTTAGGATTAATTATCGAATGGAAATACCTTTTAGGAAATTATCTGAAATTAGCAATAATCAAAGGTCTTCATTTTAATTAAAAAATGCCTTTAATTTATTTTTTATTTCCTATCTAAGGTAAAAAAAAAATGGCATGTTAATAAGATTCTTGTTCAAAAATATGCCAACCCTTGTAGGATATAAAATAAATTATGCAAGCAACAGTCAGCATACAACTCATGCAAACTGTGACTCAATGATTTTTTCTTCTTGGCATACAATTGGGGAGAGAATTAGTAATTCCTTTAGACTTTTTTCTTCTTCTATCGAAATAAAATGTGCATGAACCAAATTTGTCACAGAAGAACAACGGTTATAATTGACAATTAATAAAGCAGATTACCAGTTAACTGGCAGCACTGTCAAAATATTAGCTGAACAAAAAAGGAAAAAAATCTACAATCAAAACAATCAAACACTGAATTCAATTGAATTGGCCTTGGAAACCCAAGATAACCATAAAGTAGCTTTTGAGCTCATTAATTTTTTTCAATAATGACTTGAATTCACACAGATAACACCTAATACTTAATTCAATTAATTTATATAATTATTTTTTTAAAATAATAACTAACAAATCTAAAATTTAAATCTTAATATTTATAAACTTTTTTCTTATTCTCACTATGATCTCTTTTGTAATATATATATATACACAAAATTAGTAACTGCAGGCCCGTACTTTCTTGTCTAATTTCCCATATTCAATCTGATCCATTTTGGGATTAATCAAACTTTCTAACAGGGAATTGGGTAGTTAAAGAAAGCATAAAGAAGAGATTTCCTAGTTTGTTTACCAAACTACCGACGTCTCGTAACTCAACAGAAGATGTTGTAATTACTATACTTTTTGGAGTTTATTTATAACAATATTGATTGGTGTGAGGCTTTTAAGCCATAAAATTTTCATACGAAATACTTCAATTATACGAAGTAAAAATAACTAAAATTGCTTGAGGTCACATAGCATTACTCTTGATTGTAAAGATCAAGTCCAAAAGGAGACTATGCAAATCAAGTTTCTGGGTCGTACATAAGTGCACTGGATTTTACAAGTTTTCCTGGGTTTGATTACCTCTCAGTAGCCAACAATGAGGGTTGGCGATTGTAAAGCTGAATTAAGTTTATAAGGTTTCCTGAAGAGCGAGATTCGTGAGATTGATCATCGCTGGTGGGGTCTAGCGACGGATACCAAGGGTTGTTTGTCAACTCAGTCGATGTTCATGGCTGACAAGGAAAAAACTTCTGTTTTTGTAAAGTTGGATTAAGGGAAACCTTGAGTGTGAATTAGGTATTCACACTACAATGTTATTGACTTGTTGATTTTTTTTAATTAGTTTTAAAATTTTTTAGTATTGGTTAAATCCCAAATTATTTGAATTTGTTTGAATCTTACGAATTTTAAGAAAAAAAATTAACTTTAGTATATTTGTATTAAAATTTGAATTTTTTATAAAACAAAAGTTTCATGATTTTTAATGTTAAAAAGTAAAAAAAATAATTAAAATAATTTTAAAATATAAAAAAAAAAAGTAATTTAGGTATTTAAAAAATAGAAGAGGATATAAATTTGAAATATATCAAAGGAAATATAGACAAAGAAAATAAAATGGAGAGAATGATATCATGTACCATTGAAGTTCAATGGGATTTGCTTGGATCTTGTAAGGCATGTAATATTTAATTTAAGGATAAATTTTAATTTTTTAAATTAATTAATTCAATTTTAGGTATAATTTGGGTTTGTAAATTTAAACTATTTAAGATCTAAGGATACAATATAATAAGGAATCACATTTTTTAATATAGTTAAATTTAAATTTAAACAATCTAATATATTGTAAGAAAATCAATTTAAAGAAAATAAAATTCTTGATTTTAAAACTTTAGAAGAGTATTTAATTTTTTCAATTTTAACTCGTTTGTATTAATACAAAGAGATACTCAGTGACAATTGTAGAAGTAACTGAAAGAAACTTAAAGCAACTGAATTACCCAATTCCATTTCATTGGAAACCATTTTCTTCTTTTGGCCAAACGGGAACTATTTTTCTTGCAACTTTGCAGCAGAAAATGACAAGACCAACTGCCTGGTTTATTATTGACAATTTCAAACAACATTTCCTTGCATGCTTTCGCATAATCGGAACAATGACTACGTTGTAAAATTAATTGAAGTCGCTGTTGCTTGTGATTTTTGAATTTGACTATAGTTACAACTAGGCTAATCCAATTGAGAAATTTGTATACAAAAGCACACAATCACATAAGCAAGTGAGATTGATCCTATAACCACCATTTGTACCATCCTCCCAAGAAATCAATCATAAAAGAGGGGATTCCAAGAGCTCCAATTTCAATCCTCCAAATGCCAGGGTGAGTTGTGATCTTTTTTTTTTTTTTTTTTCTCAAATTCTTTTCAATTTGAGCTATAAGACTGGTTTAGCTTTGAAACAGGAGACTTGCCATGGAAGTAAAAGCAGCAGATTTCATCAGTAGTTTACCAGATGAGATACTTTTCCACATAATTTCTTTACTTCCCTTTGAATCTGCTATCCAAACCATTTTCCTATCTATCCAAACCTGAAAATCATTGGATGCAATGGATTGGAATCCTTGAGCATTGATTCTGATACAAAGCTTTTAAACTTAAACCATATTTGATTGTCCACAGTTGAAAACTCTCCGTATTAGATCCTATAAACTTAGAACTTTTTTGTATAGAGGGCAATTTCCTTGGTTTTGGCCTGAGTTTCATTTCAACCTGGCAAATGCCATGCTTGATTCAAGGCAAGGCCCTGGCTACAGTACCTTCAAAACTAGAGATTTGGATCGAGTCTTGCTGACAATAAAGAATTCTGAAATTCTTACGTTGTGTAAATGGACATTTGAGGTATGTTATCTTTATTTTTCTAATTCTAGTTTCAAACTATGCTTTTTCTACCATAGTCATGATGAATAACAAAATGAATTACTTTATGTTGACTAACTATTGAATGCAACTAAATTGAAATTAATCAGAATTTTCTTTTAAACACAGGCATTAATTTGTCCATTATTATCATCCTTTCGAGCCAATTTTCAATTTTATAGACTAAAGGAGTTGTGGTGGATTGATAATTATTAAAGGGATTAGGCAATAGTGATGCTCTAATCACCTTCTTGAAACTCTGTCCTTCCTTAGAGCGACTCTTCGTAACTGTAAGTTTAATTTTCCCTTGACTTTGAGAGACAGAGAACTTGAATTTCTTTATTTTTTTGGTGCGTTTGTTCTGACATTGAGCACATTGCTAGTATTTGAATATTTGACACTTCATTTAATCATGAATTTGAAAGCAACCTTAAAATTAAACTCTTAGAAAGGCAATAAAATTAAGCCTGCAGTTCTACTTAAATATGCTAAAATTTTGATCCTTTTAGACGAATTGTGTACTGATTATTGAGTATGCAGATTGATCATAAAAGCTATGTCATTCCAAGTGCAGCCACACTTTCCAAGCAAGTACATAGAAATACAAAATTGCAGCATCTCAGACTGGTACAATTGGAGGGGTTTGACAATCATGAGGATGAGATTTTATTCGCCAAGCATCTACAAGATATTATCGTCCTGGAACCATTAATCCTAACAACATCAGATGGGATTTGTTTCCAAAATTTGACCAAGGTTCCTTCACATGAATCTCACCAGCCAGAGGATACTTCACCAATTACACAAGAAAGTTTTTTTACGAGTCTGTTCCAGTGAAAAACATGGATGAGTTATGTCCCAACCATGCTCACATGATCAGTATGTAGGGCCTCAAAATCACAAGTTTCTCTGATAAAGTTTTCATTTCCAAGCCAAGAGGGAACAACCAAATTAGTCCTTGAGTAAGATGAAGTCTGATTCACAAGGCTACCAATATTTATGATGCACTTTTTTGTTACACAAATTCTCCGTACACTTAAAACAGAAATAGACATAGTTTAGTAAGATTATGTGAAATATGCATCTTTTTTTGCCTTGCTGTGTTGAAAATTTCTAAAGTTGGACCCTGCTTAAACAGGAACAATGAAAGCATATGAGTCTTCCCCGTTTGATTACTGGGAAAGTAGAGAAAATGTAAAAGGGTGTGCTACAAGTTCACAAGATTCATTGATTCCCTTTAAGCTCACGAATATAAATGAACAACGTGAAGCTGATTTTTGCAGTCACCATAATCCTTGTTGTTTTTAGTCTTTTTATTGGTTCATTCGATTATGGCACAAGTGTTGACTATGATAATATATTAAAGCTTAAAATCATGTAGTATACATTAAAGAATAGGGGGAGTCACATCCATGAAATTTATCCAATTTATTTTCCTGATCATAGAAGTTGAATACTTGAATTAACTGGTAGAAAGAATTGAATCTGAGAACAGAAGCATATATTATATCAAGCAAGACTTTTAGTGGGGATAATACTTCAATATTGATAGTTAATAATTTGATTTATATGTCTGTAATTAAGGGGAAATAAATTGAACAAGGAACTAGGAATTCAAAGTGTTAAAGGAAAAAGTTGACAGAGTTTTGAATTAGCCAATCTTAGTTTACTTGATATGTTTATTACTTCCCATGAGACTGGTCTGAACTGTGAACAATTATTCAATAGTTGACACAGATTTCCAGAGAAACAAGAAAATAAACTGAACTTTTAGTCAAGAGAGCCAAGAAGACCTTATACACTCCTATAACAGAAATCAGACCAATCAACTACAAAAAAAGCAAAGAAATGTTCAAACTTACAATTTCATCTTCATGTAAAATGTCATAGAGAAACTTTAATTAACCTTAATAGGAAACAAAATATTGCTAATCATCATTGGTTTGAAGAAGCTGATGCCATGATTAATGAACTTTGCATTAAATTTCAAGCCCGTTAAAAGCATGTGAATTTTTTTTTTCCAGGGCTACATTATCTGAGTTTTGTTAATTAAAGTCTCAGGTTTGGGCCTCCACTCGTCCAAGTTGCTATAATTGAACTGCATTAAATTGTCGAAATTTGCCTAGTCTGAAATGTATGTGTTTTTTAATTCACATTACGCAGACAGATAATTAAAATTTTCACTAGTTTCTTACTAATTTGCCGATAGCAAACTTCAGTGCAACACCAAAGGTCAGATGTTTCAACTTACAAAAACCGTCACAAACAGGGCAAATGCATAAGTCATTGATGCAAGTCCAGCTGTTGTGGTTGACCCATTATAGGTTTGCTTGTATGCTAACAAAAAGATTAGCCATTAGTTACAAAAAGATGGCATAGCATATCTTAAAAGAACAAATTATAATGGTCATTTTGAAAAGTTCATTCTTGTGCAACTGCTTTTTCTGGATCAGTGGAAGTTGTCTTATTAGAAGTTCATGACCAATCCAGTTTATTGTCTACGTAGCTTGAAGCCCTTCAAATTGTGGGAAATTAGTGCTCATTAACTACCTTTTAATCTCTTGATGATATTCCTCGGTCAATTTAAATGGAAGCTTTGAGTAGATAGCTGAAACAATCATGGACTAGAATTTCTTGAGACAGATTTCCCCACAAACAAATAAAAACCAAGAGAGCCAAGAAAATCTTATACATGTTGGGAATATTGACTCAAATCACATAAGAGATTTATTTGAGATTTGTCAGATATTGCTTGATGGACAAGAAGACTTGCAAAAGAAGAATTTCAAGAGAAAGAGGATTCTTAATAGGTAAGTTTGACTTGCAAGAGAAGAATTTTAAAAGAAAAAAGATTCTTAATAGGCAAGTTTGACTTACAGGAGAAGAATTCTAAGAGGAGAAGGATTCTTAATGGGCAAATTTGTATGATTATAAATAGGTGAAGTCTCTAAAGAGTTAGGTATGAGAAAAAGATGTAAGAGAGTTGTAGGATTTTGTGGGATAGACACCTCATAGGAGTATTGGGGCTCTGGGTGTGTATGTTTGTTTGTGAGTAGACTAGAGGAGATTGAGAGGGTCTACATAGGTATAGTGTATGAGAGCATATAAGTATGTGTTTGGTTATGTTGAAAGGGTGCACAAGGGTTTTGAGTTTGTGTTTGTTTGGGTTGAGAATACTTCATAGGACTAGAGGAGATTGAGAATGTCTTATGAGTATTGATTGTTGAGTGAGGTTGATGATTTGATGTATGTTTGTAATTCTCTACAACTAGTGGATCTTGTTTCTCATCCGTGGATGTAGGTCAGTTGGACCGAATCACATTAAATTATTGTCTCTTGTGTGTTTGATTTATTGTTTGATTTTGCTTCCACTGGTGTGATTGGATTTGAGGCTTTTAGCCCAACAAATGGTATCAGAGCTGTGGTGTTCCTCAACAAATGGTATCAGAGCTGTGGTGTTCCTCAACAAGTGGTATCAGAGCTGAAGGTTCGAAACGTGACAAGAGTTGAAGATTCAACATGTGGAAAAAGTCGAAAGTTCGAGACGTGAAAAAGCTGAAAGTTTGAGATGTGGGAAAAGCTAAAGGTTTAAGATGTGGGAAGTGCTTGGTTTGAGATATGGGAAGAAGTAAGCTTAGAGGAGCTCGATTCAAGAGAAGAGTTCGAATTTAAGATTGAGGATTGGTTTGTATAAAGCGTGAAGACACAAGAGAAGATGATTGTGAGACTTTCATTGCAGGTGGAGCCAAGCATGTCTAGCATGAAGACAGATGATTAATGGAATTTGAGTCAAGGTGGAGATTGTTGGGAATATTGACTCAAATCCCATAAGAGATTTATTTGAGATTTGTTTGAGACTTGTCAGATATTGTTTGATGAACAAGAAGACTTGCAAAAGAAGAATTTCAAGAGAAAGAGAAAAGAAGAATTTCAAGAGAAAGAGAAAAGAAGAATTTCAAGAGAAAGAGGATTCTTAATAGGTAAGTTTGACTTGCAAGAGAAGAATTTTAAAAGAAAAAGGATTCTTATAGGCAAGTTTGACTTAACAGAGAAGAATTCTAAGAGAGAAGGATTCTAATGGGCAAATTTGTATGATTATGAATAGGTGAAGTCTCTACAGAGTTAGGTATGAGAAAAGATGTAAGAGAGTTGTAGGATTTTGTGGGATAGACACCTCATAGGAGTATTGGGGCTCTGGGTGTGTATGTTTGTTTGTGAGTAGACTAAAGGAGATTGAGAGGGTCTACATAGGTATGGTGTATGAGAGCATATAAGTATGTGTTTGGTTATGTTGAAAGGGTGCACAAGGGTTTGAGTTTGTGTTTGTTTGGGTTGAGAATACTCCATAGGACTAGAGGAGATTGAAAGGGTCTTATGAGTATTGATTGTTGAGTGAGGTTGATGATTTGATGTATGTTTGTAATTCTCTACAACTAGTGGATCTTGTTTCTCATCCGTGGATGTAGGTCAGTTGGACCGAATCACGTTAAATTATTGTCTCTTGTGTATTTGATTTATTGTTTGATTTCACTTCCGCTGATATGATTGGATTTAAGACTTTTAGCCCAACAATACACTCCTATAACACAAATTTAAAACAAACTACAACCACAACAAAAGTACAAGAAATCCAAATTCAACCCCAATTTCACTTTCCTTTTCCAATTTTTTTTATTCCATCTTTGACCTGAAAATGTCAGAGAGAAACTTGACCCTTGACAGGAAAGTTCTTAAAAGTCACCGGTAGAAAGAGGCTCATGGGAGCCATTACCGATGAAGATGTTATCATAGACAATGGCAGCAATGGCAGCCCCAATCAATGGACCAAGCCAATAGACCCAGTGGTTAGTCCAGGACCAGCTAACAACGGCAGGACCGAAGGAGACTGCTGGGTTCATCGAGGCACCATCAAAAGCACCACCAGCCAAGATGTTGGCACCTACAATGAAACCAATTGCAATTGGAGCAATAATTCCCAGATTTCCTTTCTTTGGATCCACTGCTGTGGCATATACCGTGTAAACTAGGCCAAAAGTCATGACAATCTCAAAGACAAGTGCGTTCCAGGCGGATACACCAGAGGATAGGGAGAAAGCTGATGTTTCCTGCAGTCGATCGTGTCAAACAAAATTAAATATTGAACAATATTACTTGACATTTTCATACTGATCATAAAGAAATTAAAACAAAATAGACTTGATAAGCTCTAATGAAGGAAAATGATTGACCAGCTACCATTATAACTGAGAGCGATGACTGAAACGTAACCTGCCACTAATATTATAGATATTTTTTACATGAATGTGCAATAATTTCAAAGGTTTTAAACTATGCAATAAATTTCACAAACCTGTTTGAACTAGGTCCAGCTTCCTCTATTTTTTTTTTTTATCATAACTACTAATATAATTTTAATCACCGTTCACAACTATGACGTTTGAGTAGATCCTGCATGTTTGAATGATGATGAATTGAAAATAATGGATTGAAAAGTAATGAACAAGAGCTCAACTCATTAGAACTTTTAATCGTTTTGAAATGGTAAATATTGTTATATACTTATATATGTGTGAAATCATGTCCAAGTTTGAGGGTAAACTGTCCAAATTAATATAACTGCATTAAATTGTAGAAATTTCCTTGTCTGAAGTTTCAAGATAATTAAAATTTTAACAAGTTTCTTACCAATCCGCCGGTGGCAAACTTAAGAAGCAAGCAAGCCACGACTGAGCCTAGCAACTGTGCAATCCAGTACAAAATGCCTCTCAACAAAGTAATGTTGCCACCGATGAATGCCCCAAAGGTCACAGCAGGGTTAACATGCCCCCCTGATATGTTTGCACCGACCGAAACCGCCACAAATAGGGCAAAAGCATGAGCCAATGATGCAGCTACAAGGCCGGCTGGTGTGCTTGACCCATTATCGGTTAGCTTGTCTGCCAACAAATATCAGCCCATTAATAATCATTGTTTCAACAAATTCAGTTATTTTTCTAATCATTTGATTAGTAGCTATGACTCGTCATATTTTAAAGCATAAATTTTCACACTAAAAATTTTTTGTATAATGTCAAAAAAATTCACTTTATTATGAAAAACATATAAAATGAATCACTCAAATAATAACAAAACACCCATCCAAACAAATTTTGAACACGTAATTACATGAAATGAACATTTTATTTTTAGCAAGACATAAAAGATATTCAAATTAGAGATCTTACTGAAAGCCATGCCGGACCCTTCTCCAGCAAATACAAAAATAAGCATAGAAAAGAACTCCGCCAAAGCCGCCTTTATAGCATCCGGCTGGCTCGCCTCTCCCGGTGTTCCAACCGCAATTCTATTAAGTGGCATTTTCTCTAAAATGATTTCTTTTCCTCAGCCTAAGTTCTCTCTATTACCAATATAAGTACCAAGAGATATTTCTTTCTCTTTTGCTTTGCAAGAAAATAGCTCTCAAATTTGAGTTAGTGTTGAGTAAGAGCTTGCTTCTTATATATATACCTAAAATAACGGCCAAGGCAACCGTAATGCAGGTATCCAGAAAAAAGGACCACAGTGGAAGAGTAGGGGCCATCTTTTTTAAGCCACATGTCGGTGCATTTACAGCTAATAAATGGGACCCTTGGTTGCCACGTGTGTGGTTGTGATTAATTGTTAGCCACTGAGAATTTGGCGAAGAAGAGATCTGGATCGCCGACCAAATGATGTCGTTGGACCCGGATGATGATTGTGTGGTGTGTGGTCCCCTGAAAGTCTCGTACAGTGGCGCGAGATGGGCGGCCGAAAACCGACCATTTGAATATTCAAAACCAAACGTGTGAATTGTGTGTGATTGTTGTGAGCCCACGAACATACGCTTTGATAGGCTTTTGGTGTGTTGTAAATGGGCGCACTAGGATCCAATCATTCTATATCATTATTTTTTTTCAACTTCGAATATGATATGTGTTTCCGTATATTTCTTTTTTGAATTTATTTTTTATACATTAAAATTTGGTAGAATATAATAATATTTTTAAATTATATTTTTGTGTCTTTAAGAAAAACATCTCAATTATTAAAACATGAGATTTTAATTTGATAATCTTGAATTTAATAAATTCTAAGTTAAGCGAGATGGAGTTAAAAAAATGAAAAAAAAAAAAAACTATTTTTATTATGTAATCTAAAATTGTATGTATACTAACAGACAAGTTGCCCTAAAACTTCGTTGATAATCAAATCCGTGACGTGAGACAAAAAGGTGAGTTGATGAATTATTACTGGCCTTTCACTTACTTTGATTGCTATGGTTATCAAACTTAGATGTTTGTAGAGTTTGTTGATAGATTATGTATGTAAAATGTGACGGAGGCAGGCAGGCTCTCTGGCTTTATGTCCGATAAATGCAAAATTATTGGCCAGCTCCATATATAGGTTGGCTTGACCACGTGATATTAGATTTAGGAAAAAGATACCAATGAAGTACATTTAAATTAGTAATTAATCTTTTATCTTTGTATTAAAAAAAAAAGTAAGTTTCTATCTAATTGTGGTATTTTCCAAAATGAACAAAAAAAAAATTAAAAAGAGAGCCAACCAACAATTAAAAAAGTAAAACAAAAATCAACAAGAATTCACTTTAAAAAATCTCATATTTTGAATATTGAAAACTATTTGATTCGATTTATTCATTGATTTCTTTTTATAGTATTAAAATTTTGCTTGTAGTTGTAATTTTATTTGTTTATATAATTTTTTAATAAAACTATCAATAAGAACAATCTTTTAAAAATCTCTATCTTATTACAATGGTTTCATAAATTAATGTTAATTTACATGCACTTGAAGAACTACCCTAATTTGTCAAAATTTCAATTTAAGTTTCAAACCTTATAATATCAAACATAAACATGTTTGAATGGAATAAAAAATCCATCCAAACTGAAACATTGGACGCCGACACATCGATGGCAAATGTTACATCACCCCCGAAATTAATAAGCTGAAAATAGTAGCACAATCTTATCATATTGGACCGACCATTTCCATTAAAAATAGCTTCTCCTACAATCAAAGTTGCATATTTGTAATAATTGAACTTGTCCCTTAACGTATATTTTTTTTTCTTGACTGACCCCACCCAATGATCATTGTCCTTTAGTTAAAATTTTTTAATATTAAAATTTTGTAACATCTCAATTCTACACTCAATTATTAAACATCGGCATAAATTTTTCCATTCAAAAATTAAAAAAATAAAAGATCTTAAGTTTTGAAAACTAAATCTTACCATGATCTTTCAATTGAGAGACAAAATTTTCAACTTTCAACTTTTCTTTTATTTGGATTTTTTCTCTTTTCTTTAATCCATAACATTAATTTTGGTAATTTACGTATGAACATTATTCATTCGTTAGAGTGCCATGTGTAAATTTGTGATTGATCCTTTTTCTTTTTTTTTTGCATTTTTTTTTTTTTTTACTTTTTTCCTTTTAAAAAATTAATTCATTTTCTAAATTAAAAAATATATATTTGTAAAGATTGTATTTTTATATGTGAGACCAACTTATATCAATTTTTCACTTTTCATTTTTTACCCTTTTTAATTTTTCTTTTCTAAACAAAAAAGTAATTAATATTTTTTTAATTTTTTTAACACACTTAAATAATATGCGATCTACAGTCCTATTTTCTTTGGCTATAGCACGTCATTTTTTTGGGTTTTACACTTTTACTTTTTTCCTTTCTTTTTTTGTTTTTCAAAATTTTTTTTAATTATTTAATAAATACTTTTTAAAAGTTATAAAATTATATATTCTTTTAAAAGATTTTTTATATTTGAAACCCACTTATATTAAATTTTTTTCTTTTTTAACTTTTTTTGTATTTAAATATTTTAAAAATTTTGATAAAAAAATTTTTTATTTAATTTTTTCATAAGACACATTTGATACTAAATTTACATCGTGTGTTTTTTTTTCCTTTTTCCCTTACTGTAATTAATTAAAATTATTATAATGTTTCTCTTACCACAATTATGAAAATACCTCTTATATTATATTTTACTAAAATTATTATAATACCCTTTAGCCATAATTACAAAAAAACGAAAAACCTTTTTATTTCTTTATATTATGCATCTCCTACCATAATTAAAAAAATATTTTTCGTATTATAATTGATCGAAATTACTATAATACCCTCTAAGTATAATTACAAAAATACTCTTTTAATTTCTTCATGATTGTGCATTAAATTTTAACATTTATAATAATATGAAATTAATCCCATAGAAATAATCATAATGTCATTTTAATTACATAAGCATTGAATTACATACATCCAAATTGATTGTAATACCTTTCTTTTTATGATTAACTAAAATTATGATAATACTCTTTTTAACATAATTATTAAAATACTCCTCTTATCATAATTGATCAAAATTACTATAAGGTCCTTACAACCATAATTATGAAAATGCCTTCCTACCATCATTTGCTAAAAATTACTATAATACCCTTCATACTATATTTATGAAAATATCTTTCATTATAATTTGCCAAAATTATATAATACCATGTAACTATAATTTTGAAAATGTCATCTTACCATAATTACGAAAATATCCTCTTACCATAATTATCAAAATACTCATTATATTATAATTGGTTAAAATTATTATAATACTCTCTAAATATAATTACAAAAATATATTTTTAATTGCTTTATAATTACGTATTTAATTTTTACATTCATACAATAATGTGAAATGAATACCCTTAGAAATATCATAATTCTCTTTAAATTTCTTGATAATTGAATTACATACATTCAAATTGACTGTAATGCTTTTTTTTATAATTAACTAAAATTACTATAATATCCATTTTAGTATAATTATTAATACCGCTCTTACCATAATTGGTCAAAATTACTATAATGCCTCTAAAACCATAATCACAAAAATATCTTCTTACCATAATTATAAAAATTCTCCTCATATTATAATTATTTAAAATTACTATAATACTCTCTAATCATAATTAAAAAATATCATTTTGATTGCTTCATATAATGCCTCTCTTACCATAATTACAAATATATCCATCATATTATACTTGATCAAAATTACTATATTACCTTCTAAGCATAATTATAAAAATATCATTTTGATGGCTTCATAATTACACATTAAACTTTAACATCCACATAATAATATAAAATTAATCATTTTAGAAATAATCATAAACTCTTTTAATTACTTGATAATTGAATTATATGCATCTAAATTAACTGTAACGCCTCTTTTTTTATAATTAATAAAAATTAATATAATACCCCTCTTAATATATTTACTAAAATGCTCATTTTATCATAATTGGTTAAAATTAAAATAATATTCCTATGATCATAATTACATGAACGCCATTCTAACATCATTTGTCAAAATTAATATAATTCTCCTCTTATTATAATTAATAAAATATTGCTTATATTATAATTTGTCGAAATGATTATAATATCCTCTTATTATAATTACAAAATATTTTTTTATTATTTCATAATTGTGTATGAAAATAAAAAAATTTGTAACTGTAGTCGGATAATTTTTTTAGTTTCTACTAAAAAAAGTAACATGATTTTTTATATAAAATCTTATGAGCTTTTAGTTCAATATCTCTTGTCACAGAGTTTTTGAGCCGAGTATTATAGATTTTTCGTGAGATTAGCTTGCGTGAAAATTCTATGAAAAGTTATATCAACTTATATACAAGCCCGATATTTTGTTTTCATAATTTCTTTTAGATTCGATTCTCCCTTATTACTTAACATTCATAACAAGCTTGAATTTGTTTTCGGGATTGTGAAAGCAAATTCAATAAATCGGAAAAATAATTTGGGGCCTAAAAGTATTAAGTGGGCTCTATGGATTCTGAAATTGGATCTGAACCATTATTTTTAAAGCAACAGACAGAAATTCCTCAAACTGAATTGACCAAAGTTTTCTTGATTTATAATGTTTGTTCATTTTTTTTTTCTGTAATTTATTGGTTGTATTACTCTATTTATTGAACAGTACGTATGGTGAGAATCTATTGGAAAATTTTGAGATTCAGCTCTAGTCAATAATTATTGTATCACCCTGGAAATGGCGAGGAAAATCTTTGGATTCACCTCTACTTTCAACTGGAGCTAATCCAATATATCATTACTGAAGCAATAAAGTATATAAAGAAGCTTGATATACACAATGAATGGAAAAAGGTCTAAAACGGTAGTTTTAAAAAAATAGAACATTCATGGATTACCCTTCCTTTTAGTTTTAGATCATATATATATATATATATATATATATAGGTTTATTTGACTATTTGTACTACGTAGTTTGAGAATAGAGGTCTGAATTTGAAATCAAATAATTCTTCACAAAAATGTTATTAATGTGACGACAAAGATGTTCTTTTATTTGAACCAGGAAAAAATGAATTATCAATC